AGATCTTTCAGGCCATTCCATATTTTCTTAGAGTTACCGCTATTATTATTTAGGTAGGACCTGTAATAATGAGCTTTAGCGTGTCTACATAGTTTAGTTACTGTATTCCTCAGTTTGCGAAAGTTCATAAAATCTACATCGTTCTTTGATTTATTGGCTTTAGCTTTTAAAGCATCCCTTTGATGCATCATATCAAAAATGTCATGTCTATTTTTTAGCCATTTAGGCAGGTCCTTCTTGAATCGTCTAGAAACGTAAGGAGCGAACTTGTCACAAACCTGAGTAAAGGTAGATGACCAAAAATCAAGAGCAGAATCCACATTTGAACAGTCATATAGTTTCGGCCAATTCTGTTGACTAAGTTCATCGAGAAAGAGCTCCTCATTAAAATTCTTGAATGATCTGAAAGTTTTGGAGAAGTGATTCACCTTCGGAATTTTTGATGACAAGCAAGTGTATATGAAATCATGATCGCTAAATCCACATGGAAAGACTGAGGTAGATTGGTGTAAGTGCTCACAGTTAGTCAAAATCAGATCAATTGTGGATTTGGTGGTTTCTGTGATTCTTGTAGCAGATGTCACTAATTGTGTTAATCCAAAAATATCCATCAAATCAATTAAATGATTATGATTCGATGATTCACTTTGAATGTTAATGTTAAAGTCACCGATAGCTATGAAATTAGGTGACACATGAGACCAGATATTAAAGCATTTTTCGATATCATCAAAAAATTGAACTCTGGCACTTGGTTGGCGATAAATGGTGCTGACGAAAATGGAGCTTCCGGAGGGAGGTTTAACAAGGATTGACAAAGATTCAATACAAACATCATCCGGTAAAATAACCTCTTCAAAAACAACTGATTGGAGAATGTACATAGCCACACCGCCACCATGTCGGGTTCTGTCTCTTCTAAGTAAGGTGTATCCTGGAATAAAGAGTTCGCTGGAGTGAATGTCCGAACATAGTTTGGTTTCCGAGAATGAAGACATATACTGTATCATTCCTAAGAAACTTTTTAAACTTGATTTGTCGTTTGGAGCTTCCATGTCTAGGATTGTTGAGACTTTGTCTGGGTCTGGTTTAACCCCATCTGCTGTGTATATGTTTCCAAAAAACTTGCATTCTGCAGTTTTGACTATACACTTGTCGTAATGAAGCCGGATGCCAGCTTGTCTGGTTTTCTCCATAGCCTCATGTAGGTTATACTGCCGTGATTTGGAAGAAGGCATTAACTCCTAAATCCTAGTTTTGAGTTAGAGAGCAAAACGCGTTTTTCGTTAGCCTTTTGTACTGGAAATGAATTCTAGTAATTTGTTTTGGCAAATATACTAAACATATAATTAAAAAACATATTAAATAATTTTCATGGTGATTTTTGTTCTTTAACCCTATTTAAATGGAGAAAATGCACTATTCCAAATTTTAACAGGAGGAGTCAATGGTGCGTGAAATATCTGAAGTTAGGCATTAACTCCAGTTTTTCCAGTGAAATGTGTATCTTACATAGCCAAATTACAGTATTTCTGACAAACAAATAATGTATGCCAGTGTCAATTATATATTTCACGAAATTTAGTCCATGTAAGTTAAAATTAATATTATAGTATAAATTTACAATCAATTTAAGAGTCGTCATTGTATTGTACACGTATAAAAATAGATAAAATTATTATTATTATTCAAATTAAGCTGCTATCATTTTTATATTCAATCAGAATACAATGATATTGATATATGATGGTTAAATTATGAAGAATAGTATTAATATACTTAGTAGAACCTCTAATTTACGTATACTAAATTTACAGACTTCTATTTTACAAACGCGAAGTTACATATTTCGAATCTTCATATTATATTTACGAATCATGTAAAAAGTGCCCAAATACAAAAATTATACTTTTTTAAGTATTATTCGAAATTAAAGACACTATTTGGTGAGGTAAATGGTTCTATAAAATGGTGTGGTAGATAAATAGAATCTAAATGAATCAAAGTTAGACGAGTTTTAGGTTTTCTCTTTTATTTGTCAACATCATTTTACCAGCATTGAAGATAATGAAATATTATTTTCTTAATTTTTTTGTGATTTTATTACTTTAACAGCATTGAAGATAATAAAATATTCTTTTCTTTATTTTTATTGTGATTTTATAACTTTTATCAGCGTTCAATATAGTAATATTTTCTGTATTTTATTGCGATTATTGGCCTGATTTTTCACTCAATTATCTATCAAATCAGCAACATCGCCAACAGGCATGTTCCTCCAAAAGGCTTTTTCTATTCTCGCTCATTAGTGGTAGAAGATTTTTTAATATGCCATTTTTTTTTAAACCGAAGTAAAGCTAGGCATTATGTGCATTTACAAGCTATCATGGGTAAATAACTATGCGTAATTGTCTTCTGTGATTGGTTCATTATGATCTGTTCATTGTTTGGTGGAGGTAATGCCTTATTCTGCATTCATGGATTGGAGTTAATGCGTAAATATAATATTTACTTCATATTTCTGGACATTTTTTGGGGTATATGATCAATTCACATGATAGATTACATCTATAGGATGCCATAGAAACAAAAATCCAAAAATCTCAAAAAGCGAGTTAATGCCTTTTTCCAAATTACGGCAGTATAGTCATGGTTAGTGCTGTCTGTACCATTATTTGTATGTCGCTAGCAATTCCTATCGCACCTCTACAACATCTATAAGCTTCATCTATCTTTTATTGAAAGATGTCTTGGCTTACTTTTAGTCCAAAGGGTAGTCTCCAAAAACTTATATCGTCCAAAAGGTGTGTTGAATGTTGTTAGTTTTGTCGATTCTTTATCCAATTTCACGTTCCAGTATCCATTTCTAGCATCTAATTTGCTAAATACTGTTGATCCAGTTAAAAAAGGTGTGATTTCTTCCAATGTTCGTGTGGAATAGTGGTCTCTCTTTATGGCTAAGTTTCAATCTTTCGGATCTAGACATATCCTCAGTCGGCCTTTTGGTTTCTCTCTTACCACTATTGAGTTGACCCAATCGGTTGGTTCAGTCCCATACAAAAAAATTCTATAGAATTCTATCCAAAAAAAAAAAACTATAGCATAATTGTTTAGAAAATCTATGGAACATTCTATAGAAATAACTATAGAAGCCCACTATAAAAAATCTATTAAAAATCTATTAAAACTATATTAAAAATCTATTAGAACTCTATTAAAAATCTATTAAAACTATATTAAAAATCTATTAAATATATATAAAAAAAACTATAAAAATTCTATAAAAATATATTAAAACTATATAAAAAACTATGAAAATTCTATAAAAAATCTATAGAAAGTCTATGAAAATTTAATATAAAAACAAAACCTTAAAAAAACTACAGAAAATCTATAAAAATTTTTATAAAAACCACTTATAAATCTATACACATTTTATAGAAAAAACCTATAAAAATACATATATGTAAATATGCAAATAGAATTTCTATACAATTGTATAAAAAATGTATATAAATTTACGATTTTATATAGAAAATCTGTGTATTCTATATAAAAAAAAATGTGGGTGTTGTGTTTTTGGACAATTCAACTGGTCTTCAAATTCAACTGGCCCAAATTCCAATTGGTTTGCAATGGTCCCAGTTCCGATTGGTAACCATGGCTTTAATCAACTTCTGCAGAATTACAAAATACACTGAGTTCATATACAAACCATAATTTCTTTAATTTAAAACACCAACAAACATCATACGGTAGGGACATTACTTCCCTAGGGTTTTATTTACTAACATACCCCTTCATAATTATATTATCGTTTTGCTAATGTCTTACTGCTAAACATACTGTACCTCAAATTCAAGTCTATTCTACAGTTCTTTGCTTTACAGTCCGGTTTAAATAAGCTTTTTTTTCGTATTGTATTCCTATTACAAGCGTTTATTATATAAACAATATTCAAGAACCATTTGTGTTACAGGTGTGCATAAACCAGCATTCTCTGTGATATTGCAGCAGCAACTGTCCATAACCATGCCTTTTCTTGTCCGATGCTACCAAGCTAAATTAGTATGAATTATGCTGTTGAACAAATCTAGTTTGAAATAATGAATCACTGTGATTTGTACTAACATTTTTCGGCATTTCACTCTTGCTGAAAGATATAACAAAACAAAATATTTAAAAAGAATAATAATGGTAAACTTATACAGTATATAGAGCGCATATTATAGAAACCTCTATTAAATGTATTACATCCCTTTATTATTGTATTGAAATAGGAGTAATATACATATATGTAGCTAAACAGACTAGCAGTTACTTTTTTTTAATCAAAAGAAAATTATTTTTTTTAGTTTTCAAAACAGCTTAGCCTACATTACAATTTCAATATCCCTTAAGGCCTATATAGGCCTAATATATACACATTAAATGTGATTATTTGATTAAACTCTATCGTGTAAACTACAGTATCAACTATAGCATGTTGTTAATAATTAATAATACAGGACAGTAAAATACAACGTCAACAAAACATTATATTCACCTTTAGAATGTCAGGTAATTTTCTGTTCCTTCACAGATACGTCTTCAAACAAAAATTAATGCTTTTCTACTACAATGATTGAGTTGACTGGGTTGAGTTTTCACTTACAGTAGTTACCGAGACTTGAGTATCCTGAAATAAAGTCACAATTTATGTTGTTAGTATAGGCCTTTTGATTACATTAACTTTCTCCAAATAATGATACAATT